GATATATATCTATATATATATATATATATATAGATATATATATATATATATATATATATATATATATATATATATATATATATATATATATATATATATATATATATATATATATATATATATATATATATATATATATATATATATATATATATATATATATATATATATATATCACCATGGATAAATTAAGCGATAAAGATTGTCATAATACAAATAAAGTCCTTCCTCCATACCCGACCAATTGCAAACCTCCTCCTTACATCGGCCCCCAACCGCATCTCTATAATAGTCGAACATTACATAACTCATTGTCCTAATTCCGATTACGAATATACACTTAACTTTATACGGTGCGCCGTGACTAGTTTCGAAATAGTAACTAAACCTCATCGTCTCTCCCGTTCTGATCGAATCCGCGGCTATGAGTTTTCCGCCAGCCTGGCATGTAATGTTCATGGGCAATGATCCAGGTGCAAATTCATCTTCTATCAATATTTCGTACAGAGTTGCTTCTGATTCAGCCAATGGCAATTTATTAATTATGAGAGTAATTATTGTCAATATAAAGAGGTAAGAAATTTGATTATTGGAACGAGTCATGGTTTTTTTTTTTTTTTCCTTTTTTGATGGAATAGAACTTTTGATTGTACATTTATATAGAATTGAGTACGTGAAGATTATGGTGATGTATGGTGACAATTTGCATGGATTATTTTTGTGTTTTTTACCTTCTAATTTGGTATGGGTATGGAAGGTAAATATTTACTTCAATTTAGGGATGGCAACGGGTCGGTTCTGGGCCGCGTTCGCCTAAACCCAAGATCCGACCCACGAAAAATATATAAACCCAAGACCCGCCCCAACCCATTTTAGCTTAGACCCAGACCCGCCCCAACCCAGACCCTAACTAAACGGTTCTGACCCGCAAGACCCGCTAGACCCATTAACATACAAAAAGTTTAATATTTTTTAACTTTCATAATATTTTGCTTGTATATTTTTACGAAATAATCTCAATACTAAAATACAATATTTTAAAAAATCTCTACAAGTGATATAACATGAACAATAAAATAACAATTAATTACATTTAACTTCGATAATAAGTAAAATTCAAAATGCAAGACAATTAACGGTGGTCGACAAGTGATAAATATTACTCACGAGAAATGAGATTCGAAAAATAAAACAGTGAAAATAGGTAAATGAGAATAGACAAGATGGAAATTGATAGTTTGATAAATGAAATCCGAAATTATAATATATATATATATATATATATATATATATATATATATACCCGTAACCCGACCCAGAACCATTTAGCTGACCCAGACCCGCCCCAAACGGGTCGGTTCCGGGTCCAAAACCCGCCAAACCCGTACCCATTGCCATCCCTACTTCAATTCATATAATCGAAATCGAATTTTATCTCATATTTTAGTTTAGGGTAAATTCCACTTTCCTCTCTATACTTTGGTTCGATATTACTTTACCCCTTTCTATTTTCGATTGCATCGATTTGCCCCCTTATACTTGAAAAATTGTCTCAATGTGGCCATCATCATTAGTTGTCAGACATTTGATCGTAACACCGTTCGATTTTCTTGTTGTCTTGATTTTTTTATCATTATAAATTAAACACATAACCCCTACATAGTATCCATAGCGATCTTCTGTTTTATTAAAACGATAATGTTGCTCTTACGATTTTCTTCCAATTACACATCCTACGGTTTTTTTAATCAATCCGAGACTTGGCCACGACAGTCGTTTTTTATAATGATTTAGACAATGTTTGAATACACTTTTGGTAGGTTGTGAAGAAAATGGGGATAGAATTTTAGGTTGATTTGGGGATAGAACTTTTTTTAAAATGTCAAGAACTGAATTGAAAATTCTGAAAGCTTCATTCACTATGAGGAAAATGACATTAGTGACACCAAAATTATGATAACATCAAAAGTTCTCAATGAAGCATATATATATTAAGTCACAACATTTTCTTTTTGTTTTTGACACTAATAACTATTTTTGTTGTCAATTAATTTTTTTTTATTGTCACTGCAGAAAATTAGTGACACTCCATTAGTGATAATGTTTGTGGCCTAACCATGTGAAAAATTGTGTTCTCAGTCAAAAGATTAATTTTTGTAGTGGTTTTGAGTTTATGAACATTTTGAGGTAGTTTATAATTTTCATTCTTTTTAATTTAAATAGTATTTTAGTACAAAAACACATGCACAGTCGCACAAACTGCGAGTGTGATACGTCAAGAGGAAAATTATGATTAAAGGGTGTTTACCAAATTGCCCATTTATTAATTAATTGATTGTAACCATTACATTCCAATTTTTTGAGGTTGGTAACACGAAAACAAAGACTTAATTACTTCATCTCAAAACCAAAAAAAATGTAACACAAATGTTAATTGTAATACAAACTTAAAATACTCCAAACTTTAATTTAATCAACACACGTCAAATTAAACTCTCTCTCTCTCTCTCTCTCTCTCTCTCTCTCTCTCTCTCTCTCTCTCTCTCTCTCTCTCTCTCTCTCTCTCTCTCTCTCTCTCTCTCTCTCTCTCTCTCTCTCTCTCTCTCTCTCTATCTCTATCTCTCTCCGCGATTTACGTCAATCGCCACGGGTACACCAAGCGATAAAGGTTGTCATAATACTCAGAAACACCATCCTCAGTCGCTGACCACTCGCAAACATCCTCGTCGCATCGGCCCCCAACCACATCTCTAGTGTAGTCGAACAAATTGAAATTTGTCCATTTCTTAGGTCCGATTTTGAAAGTGCAAGAAAGGCTAGTGACGCGGTGGTCAGGGTCGAAAGTGTAAGTAATGTTCATCACATCTCCCTGCCTGAGGGAATCTCCGGCAATGTAGCGGCGACCGGCCTTGCATGTCACGTTCATTGGCGGCGAGCTAACCGACAACTCGTCCTCTAACAATATATTGTAGAAAGTTGATTCTGATTGAGCCAATTGTAAGTTAATTATGTTGATAATTATTGTCAATAGAAATAGAGCCAACGAGTATGAAATTCGATTATTCGAACGAGTCATATTTTTTTGTTTTGTTTTTTTTTTTGTTTTTTTTTAGATGAAATAAAACTTGTGATTATGTATTTATATAGAATTGAAAAGGTGAAAGATTATGGTGATGTATGGTGACAATTTGCATGGATTATTTTTTGATTTTTCTTTTGTAATCTTTTTTTTTTCCCTTAAAATTATAATCGTGTTACAAATTGAAAACATAGGAGGGGCATGATTTGAAAATTCTTGTAGTATAAAAGGTAAATATTTGTAACTCATATAATCAAATTGTATTTACTAGATATTTGGTCAATGGTACAATAGTGAAATTTCAAAAGGTCAAATATTATATGGGTTAAATAAAGAAAGAAATCATATCGAAATGAAAGATATGGAAAGGAAGGTAGTTTATTGTGTGAATTGAAAATTATTACCAATATTGCATATTTAAATTTTGGATTTTTTGTGCATAACTCCCTAATCAAACATGTTTATTATTCTAGGTTTAGAGATTATATTTTTTTCTCCAATAGGCCCATCCCTTTAATATTTATTATAAATAAAGCAAAATTTCATGTATATGACAAAATTACCTTCAACTCTTTACATCCAATTCTTAATTGTAACCCCAATTTAATCAATTTTGACCACAAAAATCCAATTTTGACTTTTTTTTCAAAAAACAAAAAAATTGCCGCCGGTCTCCGGCGTTGACTTTTCGATTTTTTTTCCGCCGCCGGATTCTGGCGTTGACTTTTTTTTTTCTTTTTTACGTTCGCCGCTAAACGTTGACCGTAATTGTGTTGTCATTAACGTTAATTATACTATCACTGACAGTAAATTAACGTAATTATACTGTCACTGACAGTACATTAACGTAATTGTATTGCCGGTTACAATACATTTATGTAATTGTACTGCCGTTAACAGTAAATTAACGTAATATTATTATTTATTTATTTTGTTATTTTTTTTTAATTTTATTTGATTTGTTGACAAGTCAACGTAATTATATTACTGTCGTTGACACTAAAATAACTGTAAAAACAATAATATTACTGTCAGCCACATCAATATTAATATTTTTTTGGGTTTTTTTGTTTTGCTTGAGTTATTCACGGAGTAACGTAATAATATTACTGTCTATTATTGTAATATTACTGTAAACACAATAATATTACTGTGGTTGACGGTAGTATTACTGTTGTTATAATAATATTACTGTCAACCACATCAATATTATTATTTTGTTTGGGTTTTTTTGTTTTGTTTGAGTTATTCACGGAGTAACGTAATAATATTACTGTCTATTATTGTAATATTATTGTTGTTAAAGTAATATTACTGTCACTCATAGTAATATTAATTCTTTTGGCTTTTTATTATGTTTACATTTGTTGAATGGGCAACATAGTAATATTACTCTATTACACAATAATAACGAGTTTTGTTGTTTTAATATTATTGTGCTAAAGATTAATATACCAATATCACTGTGTTAAACTGTAGTATAGTTAATTTTAATGTGTTTTTAACAGTTAATATTACTGTCAATCACAACAATATTGTTGTTTAAACGGAAAAAAAAATTACAGAAAAAAAAATATATCGAAAAAGTTAACACCGAAGACCGGCGTTGAACCCCGGTCAACGCCGGAAACCGGTGGCGGGAAAATCATGAAGAGAAAAAAAATCAACGGCGTTGACTGCCGGAAACCGGCGGTCAACGGCGGTGACGGACAAAATTGTCTATAAAAATGTGTTTTGGGTCAAAATTGAATGATTTGTGAAATTTGGGGTCAAATTGATGTTAGATTAAATTAAAGGATGAAATTAGAGCATATTAAAGTATGATGAGTTACTTTAGTCTTTTACAAACCTCTAGATCATGTGTGGACTTTTTTGTAAAAGAGTTTATTTTATGAATAAATATCCATCGATGGGCTTATTTATAAAAAACCCTAAATTTTGGGTCAAATTGATTCATTATTCTAACGTGGATAATGTGCATGTGTCGAAAGGATTCTAAAATAAGAATCACATGTGTTAATTACAAGATATTTCAATAATGGATTACATAATTGGAACGTTTAGTCCGCTGGTAAGCACTTTGTACATAGGACTTATTTGATCATGAATTTGAGACACCAAAAAAGAAATTAGGGAATCAGTAACTACCCTCCTTTAATAAAAGAAAAAAAAAGAATTTTTTTTTTTGTAATGAAAGAACTCGCAGCGAACTATATAGATTCACTGGCAAAAAGTACACTCTCGTATAATATCTTGCAAATCATACGAGAGACGTAAACCACACTAGGCTAACCATGTGTGACAAGCTCGACCTAGCGATCGTTGGCAAGGGAACTTGAACCTGGGTAATTGACACAGAAACACTTGCTTCAACCGCTAGGCAAGGGCGGACCCAAGGTATGCCTTAGGGGGGGTGGGGGCCTGCAGTAATTTTTTTTTTTATTAACGAAGGATAGTTACTGATTCACTAATTTCATTTTTGATGTCTCGAATTCATATTCAAATAAGTTCTATGTGCAAAGTGCTTACCCAATAATGGATAATCATTACCAATAATGCATAACTGCATACGTAAAATTTTGTGTCAATATGATTCCATTGTAAGAAAAAATTAAAAGAAAATAATAATTATCATTATTTCAACGTGGATAATATGCATGTGTTGACTAGATTACATGTGTTAATTACAAGATATTTTAATAATGGGGATTTACATAATACCTACATGCAAAATATACAATAATTAAATATTGCTCTCAAATACTATTTGCATTTTAATTCAAGTATTGTACTTCAAGAAGTAGATGTAGTATGGACAAATCTCAACCAGTGAAATTTTGGTTTGCAAATCCTAGTGGACTAAGTTAGATTTGTGTCCGAACCACGTTAAATATATAAATCGTGCATTATTTATCTGTTTTACGAACTTATAAATTGGATACAAATTATTGTTTGAACATAAAACTTGTTGCAACAATTTATCTGTTACAACGGATGAACTAGATTTCTATAGACTTATAAATCAACACATACGTATATATTAATAAGGTTCCACCTAAGCATAGCACAAAAAAAAAAAAAACATTGAAGCAACAACACTTCTTTAAGGATAATGGTTTCCAATAAGACATTAAATCCATCTATAAAATATTAGGAGACTTTAAGTAGTGGTGGAGCTGGAATAGAACTTGTGATTATGCATTTATATTGAATTTGGACTTCTTCGACATGATAAACATCGGTGAGTCTTCTGCTGCCACGTGTCATTTTTTGTATTTTATAATATATTCTCTGTTTGGGTTTACCTTTAGTGATTTTAGAAAAAATAAAAAAAGGACACGTGTTAGCAGAAGACCCATCCGGTGTTTATCACCGGGTGTAGGGTCGAAGGAGCCATAGAATTTAAGTATGTGAAAGATTATAGTGACATGGTGACAATTTTCATTAATTATTTAATTGACTCTTCTCTTTATTAATTTTTTTTTTCTCGGATTCAAATTGTGTTACAAATTGGGAAAATAGGAAGTGCATGATTTGAATCTTCTTGTAATATGGTATCGATATGGAAGGTAAATATTTATAATTCATATAATCAAAATCGTATTTTATCTCGCCTTCAAAAAAAAAAAAAATCGTATTTTATCTCAATTTTCAGTCTAGATATGCCCATTAATGACCAATATATTTCATCAATTTCACCAATTCAGCAATTTATATTTGACCTCGACTTTGACTACCCCAGATGTAGACCACCAATCAATGGTATTGACTTGTTTTTGGAAACAAATTTAGAAATCACCCCCTACCCAACGGCTGCCCGTCGATGGCGTTGATTTTTTTTTTTTCTGTCTGAAATTTTATTTTATGTTTGTTTTTGGTCTGTTGTTGACCGCCTATCAAAAACTAATATACTAAATTACTGTCTAATATAGTAATATTATTATGCAAACACAATAATTCAAAAAACAAAAAAAAATAGTATATATGTTACACTGTAATATTATTGTGTTGAACGTTAATAAAAATGAAAGAAAAAAAAATGTTAAACAAAATTTATATTACTATGAGTACAATAATATTATTATGTAATACATAAGATCACTGTGTTGACCGGTTAACAGCAGAAAAGAGTTTCAGAATTTTTTTTTAAAAAAAAAAATCAACGCAGGAAAAAATGTCAACAAACGGAAAATTTTGTTTTTGATTAAAAAAAACAATTCATTAAAAATCAAGACTTTATGAAAATGGGGGTCAATGTGCAATATTGATTAAATATGGGATTAATGTCCAATATTTATTAAGATATGAATTTGGGATAAAATTGAAATAAATCAGATGTGAAGGTGTATTTCAGTCTTTTGTAGGTTTAGTGTTATTTTTTTTTAGAAGAAATTTTGAAAAGAATGTAGTTGCAATTAAGTATGGGCTCATATAATTATCCTCAGGTTTTTATTAGCAATAAACTAAAAATATTCCAAACTTTTACCTTATATTATTTAGAGATGTGCTATTTACATCTTCAAAAAATCTTATTTCACCACCAAATCAAATATATTTTCTATTTTACCCATATTTCCTTTTTCACCTATATTTTATAATTCATAAATTGTCCACCACCAAACTAATTGGAATATTAAAAAAAAAAAAAAAAAAAAAAAAAAAAAAACCACCATTGTCCATTAGAATCTTTACCACAAAATCCCACCTTCTCCACATTAGGTGAACAGTACCTTCGTCCGAGAAAAACACCCGAATGTCCAAACAAGCAGGAATTTACGTCCTTGGAGAAATAAACTAAGAGCGCTTATGTAGAAATAAAAAAAAAAAAAAAAAAAAAAAAAAAAAAAAAAAAATCAGAAGTTTTTGATATTATCGTTTTCGGTTAAAAAAATTTTAAAAATGGTTTACGTTTTATTCAGCACAATCTGACCAGAAGCTGGTCAAATTGAAGGAAGCTCAGAATCTTGTTTTACCCTTTTTAGAATTCATTTAAAAATAAATAAAAACAAAACCACATTAGAACGTATGAGGATTAAGCAGATATATAAGAAGGTGGTGGATTACAAATTTAAAGGGTATTTATGTATTTTATATATATTTGGTGGTGGATTGAGATAATTTGGAGGTGGGATTGGCGGCGGTCTATTATTTATGGTTCCTTCGATGCTCCACCCGGTGTTTTTTACTGGGTGTAGCATCGAACAAATCATTATTTATTGTTTCCGCTCATTTGCAATAGGCAATTTCCTTTTTAAATTTATATTCTTTTTTTTTTGACTTTTTTTTTATATATCCAAAAAAAATATGTTTTAACAACTCTTTTATGATTTTTTTTTCACTTTCTAATTTGTGTTCAAGGCTACTAAAATCGTAATTGTAGTCTAGTCGACTACTAAAATCATGATTGATTGACGTTGTCGACTACTAAAATTGCAGTTGACTAGCGTAGTCGTCTACTAAAATCGAAGTATTAAACTACTACCTCGTGGCAGTCAACTATTGAGTTCCACCACCAACAAAGTGTAAATCGAATTTCTTTTAAAAAGTTCCAACTCCGAAGCGAACTGTTCGATTTTCACCCCTAGTCTTGAGTGACTAAAGCAAGCGGAGTAATATGCAAGTACGTACGATCCTTCCACAAAAAATCGAACACTTAGTCTCATTTCAACAACAAAAAAATTGGATATTTTCATGAGTTTCACAAGGCTAACAATATATATATATAAATAAATATATAACCTGTGAAAAATTACACATTTTGAACTCATTACACCTCAAAAATTGCACAAGGACTATTGACCGACGATTGTTCGTTCGTTCAACACAGCAACACGGTAGTCCTCTTTCTCTCTCTCTCTCTCTCTCTAACTCTCTCTCTCTCTTTCTCTCAATGTGAGAAGAAAATCAAATGAAAAAAAAAAATGATGATTCTCAAATTTCTTCATAGAACAAAATATAGCCTTCGGAGCGCAAAACGTCTTCGAAAGAAACCTCACCAACAAAAGAATCACTTGTGTGATACCAAACGCAATCTCCGTTATTATCTTTAATACCTCTCACATACGCGACGTAATGCCCACCTCTCATCGTTCCTTGATGCTCCACCACTCCCACTAAACGGTACGTATACCTCTCTCTCTCACTGCACCTGCCGATAAAACAAAAACAAAAACGAATTTCAGAAAAAGAAAAACGAAAAAAAAAAAAAAAAACGCATATCCATTTTACTTAGACGAAAGAGAAGTACGAGTTCTAGTGTGCATTTGAAGGAGAAGCATAAAAAGTGTTTCTACGTGAATTTGTTTCTTGTATCTATTTTTCACCGACTCGTCAAAATTAAGGGAAAGGATTAACAATCCCTACACAAAAATAAACATTTTCATGTATCTAAGATTTTATCCCGAATATGTTACAGCATGCAAGTTCCGTATCGCATGCTCAACATGTATATCAGTTTACAAACGTACATATACTTTACCCTTCCGACGAATTGTCACACATTTTAGATACATAGTATAGAAATCAATGTCGATTTTATCATGTTTGAGATGATAATTTAGTGTAAAGAATAACAATTACTATCACTTAGTCGATTTAAAATACTTCACAAGAGATCAACGGTGAGAAACGAACCTGGGATCCATGTACGGTTTGAGATCGACTATCTCCCCAAAATTCACATGCCCATTCAATTTATTAAGACGCCCTCGAGCATCTTGTATGAACCTCTTAAGGTGGATCGTCAGTATCGAAGGGGCCTTATTGATAAGTGTACTCTTAGTCGCGTCCCTCTTCACTTTCAAATTCTCCGAATCCGCCTCGTCATCTTGCTCACTACCTTCGGATTCGCGTTCTTTATCAGCCTCACATTCATTATTACCAGCCACACAACCATTTTCTGACTGGATATCGATTGCATTCACCTCCGATTCCGTGCTAATTTCAATACCAGTATTACTATCCCCACTACCATTTCGAGATTTCCTCATTAACCTACGTCTTTCTTCTCGCAGAGCCTTCGAACACTTTTCGCACTGCCAAGCGTGTTCGTCTTTCGAAAGAAGCTCAGGTTTCATAAAAAGGGCCAAACAGCTCTCCACGGATACCGGTGCGTCGGCATTACTATCGACCTGGTCTGGATCGGATTCGCTGCTGTTATTTACAACAACTCCGTTTTTCGTAATATCACTTGCCTCCGAAACGGGAACTTCCGGTTCACTGAATAAATCTCCGAATCCAACAAAATCTAAGGAATCTTGTTCATCAAGTACTAGTTCATTGGAAAGCGAATTAACTTCCGAATTGTTAATCTGCGCAGTATTTGAATCTTTCGAACAAACTTGACTGGAAGAATCGGAACAACGAGCTGCCTCGCCATCAAATACAACAATTTCCATGGAAACAGAAACTTCAGGTGGGATTCCCTCGTTTGATTGTGAATTTACATTATTGCCCTCGGAATGGGGAAAGGCATTTTCTTGCTCCGCTACTGAAACGCCGTTTACCAAAGAGACAGCATTCTCAACAGCCGAAGTTTCATCGGTTTCTGAGGCTACATCGACTGGATTTTCATCAAGATAATCCAACCATGCAAAACTATCCAAGGGAGAAATCAACGGCTCTCCTTCAATCTCAACCGCTTGCTCGTTATTCGGCTTTTGAATAGCCGAAAGATCATCAGCTGTTAAACCCATATCGAGAGCTATATCTGTGTCGAATTCCTCTGCCACCGGTTGTGCTATTGTTTGGTCAGAAACACATTCTTGAGGTGGTAAAATAGTCGCATCTCTTCTAATCTTCGCAAGATTTCTCGAACTTTTTTTCGTAGGCAATTTTGATTTCTTACTTCGAACAACGGGCTGGTTCCTTTTAGCTATAGGAGGCCTCTTGGTAGGAACAGGTAAAGAAAGATCAAGAAACGGTTCGTAATTAGTCGAAGCGTGACCGCATTCCAAACAAGTGACAGTACTAGAAAGCTGCCCACCGAAGATTGTGTCCACGAATGTGGGACCCACCAAAGACTCGGTTTGCTTCTTCTTTCTTGAGCTCAGTTCTTCACCGGACAAATTATCGAGCAAACACCTGAGCAGCTCGTGACTATCTTGCTGCAAAGAGCCCTTGAACTGTGGAGCCTTTGTGCAGAGAATGCCAAATAAGGCTCGAGGGTTAATCACAGTTTTGAAGTTGGACCCGGTGTTGGTTTCGATGAAGAGCTTCCTTAGAGCAGAAGTTAGTGGGCCGATTGACTCGGTTTCGGTTCTGAAGAAATAGTCGCGTAAACTGTTTATCGATAGTAGATTCTGCATGGTTGAGTTGAAGAAACACGTGTTCCCCAAATTCGATAACCCTCTCACTGAATAGCCAACTCTTTCACAAGCAACACTAATTGCCGAACACTCAGAGTTTGTGGCGTTTGTCTCGTTATTACTTCCGCCTCCAAACCAAATATCTTCGACATTTTTTACAGATGGTTCTTCGCCCGGTTTCTTTTTCAGCCTTTTTACGACCTCGCTCAAGACTCGCTTATGATTGCTATCTTCGGACGATTTATCCGAATTGATTAGTTTATCGCACGAAAAACACCAAATTAGTTGGTGGTTTTCGCAATGGACAACTAGCCAATGATGCTGCTGTTTCGCGTGGCGAATAGCGTGGCTCTGAGGCGTGGTCGGTAGCCCAACACCTCCGCAAGAGAAATGCCCGCACTCCAAACAAATCCATACTGCTTTCGACTCCGATCTTGCGCCTTTTCCGCCTCCACTTTGTTTGCCTTTGCCTTTCCTCGCCCGTGCATCGTCGGAATTTCCACGACAGTCTTCGCACTTGAAAGATTCCGAATAACGGAGCTTGGCAGAGAGTTTGTCCAAATTGATTCCCCGATCTATGTGGGAGCATATTCCTCTATCTTTAACAGCAGTAACGGCATCGTCGGGGGTTTTGGAAACTGTTTCTTGAGAAACAGACGGACCCCGTTTCTCTTTCTGACCGGTTTTTGGCTTCTTCTTCACCTTCTTCCCCATCCTTGCCTATAATGTATCCAAGAAAACGAAAACCCATTAATGCAAATTAAATCCAAAATCTGAAGACCCATTACACATTTTAATATGTCTAGAAAAATCAAATCTAAACTAGATGATAAAAGCAAATATTCACAACTCAAGCATTCTACTGGCGTTCAAACAAATTGAAAAAAAAAAAAAAAAAAAAAACCCTAGAGATTCAAAATTGAGTGATATACTAAAATGGAATATTCCGAATCGACACACCAGATGAAATTCAATACGAAATGGAAGTGCCGCAGAGCAAAGAGTTCACTTTTAATCAAACACCTTCGATAAAAATAAAATTAAAATTAAACTAAATGAAATTAAATTATACCTAGAGAAGATGGGTAGAAGAAGGGGCTGATACTTTGTCGCCAAGAATCTCTTCCCAGGTATATTGCATCAAATGTAAAGAAACAAATTGATAGATTGATATCTTCAAATTCGTTGAATTGGGGATTTTGGGTGAATCGGATTTTTTCAGTAGAGAAGCTGATTTATTTATTCTGTGAAGAGTGTTGAGACCAAAAAAAAAAATGAGGTGAAATTGGAAAGCAGCAGAAAGGGAAGAGAGAAGGTTAGACCGGAAAATGACTGTGGGCTGGTGAGGGCTGTGTGGGCAGGAGCGGAAAAGCCTTTTTTTCTTTGTGGAGGGGCTAGAAATGAGATTATCGAAATTTAGGGGGTGAAAATGTAATTTGTTTTTCTTTTGGGTGAGTTACGGCCACGGCCGACTCTAGGTTACAATCATCCTCCAACTATGAATCTTCTTATATGGTGCTAAATTTATTGGAATCTTCTAGATATGTGGAATATTCTTCAATTTGAACATGTTTTATTTACCGCATTCGAGCTTCATATCTCGAAACAAGATGTGTCTATTGACTTGTAAATATCAGATTGTGGTGCATCTGAAACTGTTTTTTTGGACAAAACGTGTATAAACTAGAGAATATTCTATGGAATCTAGAAGATTCTGTTCAATTTGACACTATAAGAATGAACATATAAGTATATTCATAGTTAACGAAAATGGTTGTAAGTAGACAAACAGAAGGATTTTTTCGTAATTTAACATTTACTCAAGGGTCGTGGTTTTACCCTTTTCTTTTTACTTCAATGGCTCGAGCACACATTGTATTTAGAGGTGAAATAATGGATATGGTATAAGTGAAAATTAACACATTATTACAAAACTTGCAATAAAAACTGAATTAGTTTTGTGGTAAATTGTATTTCAATAACTTGTAGTCTTGTACAATGGGTATGGGTATAAATTGTTCATTTGTTTTGTAACTTTGTATTACCGGGGTGCAAGTCGGAATTGAATTTCTGAGTTTTGCCTATTTCGATCTGAAATTTTATGACTTTGGAATGAACAAATATTTATATTTCAATTTCCTATCTCTGATATTTATATTTATAATGTGTATAACTTTTATAATATAATAAATAATTAAAAAAATACAATTAAAGTTCTTAGGGTTGATCTAACGTTTCTTTCTGGAGTCTAATAGTCAAGCAGATCCGATGTGAAAACAAAAGTTCAATGAAAAACAACTTAAATTTCAGTTATTAGTATTTTTTTTTTAAATTAAAGAAGTATAAATATTGAGAAGAAAATAAAATGATTATAATTAATTAAATATAACAAATTTTTTTATTGTGAAATATATGTAGTATACTTTTTTATTTATTTATAATTAATGTATGTAGTATACTCTGATTACGTGAACTTGACAACTTTTATTTAAGCCTACAAATACCTTTGTTGATATTATTATTGGGGTAAATTCCAATTTCCCCTTGTACTTTGGTTCGGTACTATTTCACCCCTTTATATTATCGATTGCATTGATTTTCATCGTTCACTTGAAATTTTGTATCAATGTGGTTATTGCTGTTAGTTTTCAGATATTTAGCCTTAACACCGTTTGGTCTAAACTCTGAAATTACAAAAACGCGATCCCTCTCAGTTTACATAATTATTAAAAAAAAAAAAAAAAAATAATAATAATAATAAATTAAAGACAACGAGAAATCAAAGTTCATGACGGCAACCATATTTTTTTTAAATTTTTTATTAATATTTTTTTAATAATTATTTAAACTGTGACGTGTGGTTTTTTTGTAATTTTCAGAATTAGATCAAAAAGTGTTAAAGTCAAAGGTCTGATTGGCCTGTTTTTCATATACAAATGGGCAAATCGATGAAAATCGAGAGTAGAACAAAGTACACGTATCAAAAAATAAAAAATAAAAAATAAAGTGTTATATACTTTTAACCTATGGAAGTAAAATTGAGAAAATTGTAAAACAAACGAACATATATAAATCCCTAATTCTCCCAATTTCAGTCCTCATTTTTTGATTTGGGAGCGGAATTAGGAATTCTGCAGGCGTAGCAGCAAACCAGAAAGAACTCTGTTCTCACAAACCCCAATTCACAACTTGTTGGCGATGCCGTCGTCTAGCAAACGCCGACGCCGCCGCTCCTCCGACGGTTCTCCGTCGGACTCACCTTCCGAATCCGACAGACGTAAGGACCGAAGTCGTGGCCGCCGCCGGAATTCCGATAGCGATTCCGGTAAGCCGTCAAAGCGCAGCAGTAAGCGAAAGATTACCGAGGAAGAGATGACGGAATACCAAGCTAAGAAGGCTCAAAAGCTGGTCGGTAGCTTCAGCAATATTTGTACTGTTGTTTCTATGTTAAAGGTTAATTTTTTTTTTTCTATTACATTCACCTGTGTTCTTACGTTTTCCGTGTTCTGTAATGATAGGCTGCGAAATCTGCTAAGAAGCTGAGGTTGCAGTCGGTTTCTGGATATTCGAATGATTCGAATCCCTTTGGTGATTCTAATCTCAATGAAACGTGAGCCCTCAATTTAATTCTGAACTTCTCCTGTGTTTTAAAACTATACCGGGCATCGTTCTGATACGAGAATTTTAAAATTTGAATTTCAGATTTGTGTGGAGAAAAAAAATCGAGCGCGATGTGACCCAAGGCGTTCCTCTTGACGAGTTCTCCGTCAAAGCGGAGAAGAGGAGGCAGAGAGAAAGAATGGTATGTACTTTCTCTTCGACAAGTCTTGAAGTAGTGTATAAGAAAGAGTATTCCTAAATTAAACAAGTTATTTCGTTATCTTTACTGTGACCATGGTTGTTGTGGCTGTGGTGTTTCTTTTCTGTAAAATGAGGCGAGGTACGATTCGTTGTTCCTTAAGTAATCCTAGTGTGCAAGTACTGTAGCTTTAGTAGAAACTAATTACTCGTAGGGTAAGGCAAGCACAGTTTTAAATAATTGGTGTTTCTGCTTCGACATGGGAGGGTGGCAAAGATGAGTTAAAGAGATTCAATTGAATAATATCATGATAGATAATCTATCTGCTCCTTTTTATTTTGTTATTTTCTTTCAGCAATTTGAATCGGAAGTCCGTGCATCCTTATTTGTGTATTTATTCGTTTGATCCCCTTATGCTCCAATATCTATGGTGAAAGTTTTGGGAAATTCTGGTTGAGTCCCGTTAACTTCAGTTTTCTTTTCTTCATTTTTGGGCTGGCAATTTCATCCTGCAGAGTAATATAATAATAAAATTTCCTTATTTTTGAAGAGCTTCGACAGTAGAACATAATGATTTAATATGTTGGATAACTGTAGACCTCCCTGTATTCCTTGATCTTCTAGTTTTCGTTTACTACAACCTTTATTTCATGCTTGCTCACACCCTTAATAAAGTTCTATTTTACTATTCATTTTCCAGAAAGCGAATATTTACTTATGTTCTCTTCTTCTGTAGGCTGAGATTGAAAAGGTTAAAAAGAGAAGAGAAGAAAGAGCTATCGAGAAAGCACAACACGAGGAAGAGATGGTAGGATCCTAATCTTTTCTTGAAGTTGGGGTTTTTCATTATTTGACACGGAGGCTTATCTGGCTGATTTATTCTACAGTACTTATTTGTCCATATTCATCTTATACTCTATATTTTTTACGTTGCTGACCTTCGCTTTATAGGCACTCCTGGCAAGAGAACGTGCTAGAGCTGAGTTCCATGATTGGGAAAAGAAAGAGGAAGAGGTAACACAGTGACTATGCATTGACGCATTCTATCATTGTTTCTTTTGCATTATGATGTATTTATTTCGCTTCTGTGATCTGTCATTCGCCAAAATCGACTCATTTCTAACCTTGTCTTATGTTTGATTTACAGTTTCATTTTGATCAAAGCAAACAAAGGTCAGAGATTCGGATACGCGAAGGTCGTACTAAGCCAATTGATATACTCACTAAACATCTTGATCCTTCGGATGCTTTTGATATAGAAATAAATGAACCATACATGGTCTTTAAGGTAAAAAATTTGTAACTCATTTTGTTTTGATATATCATAATTCCTTATGCTAATATTCAAATATAATTGATCAAGCTTTTGTAGATTTCTCCTTTACTTTTTTTAGGGCAATTAAGATTGTGCCCTCATGACTGTATTTTGATGTTTGATTGGGATGTCTGTTGTCCAGGGTTTGACTGCAAAAGAAATGGAGGAGCTTCACAACGATATAAAGATGCACCTCGATTTAGACAGGGCAACTCCTACACATATGAAATATTGGGAGGTATAATGGCTCTGGTTATCTTGTATCTTCGTGTATTCTGTATGCAGCATATTCTGTTTAATTGTATGTTAATTTAGTATTTGGTTTACAGCTTATTCTCTATTTCTTTATTATCTTCATTCGCTATCAGTTCTTGATTTACTGTATACACTTGTTAGAATCCATAATTCACTACTTCGACATGGATATTACTTTTCTGATGCTACTGATAATTTCGACGCTTCAGCATGTGAAGTATTGGTTCTATGCAAATTAGTTTGCGTTTTTCCTATTGCACTTTGGTTATTCATGTTAATTTAGCAAGTCTTATCATTCTTAGTCTTCTTTCTTTTTTACTTCCCAGCTATTAATTATGATGCATGTAATGTTGTGAATTTTAACATGCTTGGATATTTTGGGGGTTTCTATCTAACTTCATATATATGGACAACAGGCACTTCTGGTAGTTTCTGAGTGGGAACTAGCTGAAGCAAGGAAAAGGGATGCGTTAGAACGTGCGAGGGTGCGTGGAGAGCAATTACCTCCAGAGATGATCGGCGAAGATAGAGGATTGCACGCGAGCATTGAAGCAGATGTGAAGAGTCTTTTGGGAGGCAAAACATACGTTGAACTAGAAACCCTACAATCGCAGATCGAATCACAAATGCGATCTGGGACTGCCAAGGTGGTCGAATATTGGGAAGCTGTTCTTAAACGTCTCCATATTTACAAAGCAAAGGTAGTTTTTTTCGCACGCTTTGTGTTTTCTGGTATTTTGCAGAAAAAAAATGAGACAGCTTTTGACATTACGCGTGAAAACTGCAGGCTTGTTTGAAGGAAATCCATGCCAAGATGCTGCGCAGGCATTTGGAACTTCTAGAGAAACCATCTGGGGGTGAAAATAACAAGACGGAACTGCCTCAGCCGATCGATGAGGAGGAATCTGATCAAGACAATGCTGGTATGGACCTTTTGAAATATTACGTGTTTGCCTTCGTAGATTTATGGATATAAAATAGTCCACTGACAGCCGTCGAATTTATAGGTGTTGTGTCCTCTCCATTACCTGCAATGGATCCAGAGATTCATGATGAAGAAGAAGAAGAAGACGAAAACGAAGAAGATGGATCGTATTCACCCCAGCTACTGGACGAGGATGAAAATGAAGATGCGATTGACCCTGAAGAGGACAAGGCTATCTTGGTAAGTGGATAACACTCTCTTTTGTTTGCCTCTGATCACTTCTCATTATGCTCGATTCTTTGAATTTTGCCACATTGCAATGGTAGAAGTTTTTTGATCTCACTAGGGTGGTTAATAAAGTTCTCGTAGTACTGTCAAAATTAGTACGTTGTTTCTTCTTTCTTCTTTCTGCTTAATTTTTAAAACCAGTTTCTTGTAGTAACTTCCATGAATTAATTAGTTAGGTCAAATTCAAATTCCTGCGTCAGGAAGGATTTTTAAACCTAGGGGATCTTAGTTAGTGATTATGGCTAATTGGAGGAAGGTGAGTGAAAAGGAAAGCAATGTTTGTTTAGTGATGGGGGAGAATAGAATCACTGTAAACGTCAAATCTTGTCAACAGTAGTGTCAAATCAGACTTCTTAACATTTTATGTTGTGTTTTTTGAACGTAAATAAAAGAATATATGTATTCATAGTTTTATTTTTTTGATATTCCAGATAACGAATTAACTTGCGTATATTCGTTTCAATTTCCTTGGGATTTCTTGTCATTTCTCATTCTAATATCTAATAAGGTCAACTGAGTATATTTTCAGGAAAATACGTACGCTAGCTGTACTCTTGTCTAGATACGTAAGCTGACTGTACATTTGTGCAATCTGTGTGCAGGAAAGGAAACGTATTGCTGTCAAAGAAGAGCGGCGAATCCAAGAACTGTCTTCTTCAAGGCCTGCTCCTCCTCCTCCAGACAATTTTGAGAGAACTGCCATGAAAGCCATGGGAAGCGTTGAGGAAGGTGATGTCGTATTCGGCTCAAATGACGAAATTAACCTTGACTCGCAGGTATATAAATATTCTTATAAAAAAAATTTGCCCCCTTGAGCTATCTTTATATATAGGAGAAGCTAACAACTATAATGGAACAGGTTTATTGGTGGCATGATAAATATCGTCCAAGAAAACCGAAGTATTTCAACCGTGTTCACACTGGCTATGAGTGGAACAAATACAACCAAACGCATTATGACCACGACAACCCTCCTCCCAAAATAGTGCAGGGATACAAATTCAATATTTTCTATCCGGATTTGGTTGACAAAATAAAAGCTCCGATTTACACAATTGAAAAAGATGGGGATAGTGCCGAGACTTGCATTATAAGGTTTCATGCTGGCCCGCCTTACGAAGACATAGTAAGTTATCTATTACTATCTTTTTTAAATTTCTATATTTCCAAAATTTTACAATCCCACAAATAAAAAAAGAAAAAAAAATCGAAAACGAACGAGTTATTGACTGAGAATTATTTATTTTGTGAACAGGCATTCCGCATTGTTAATAAAGAATGGGAGTACTCACACAAGAAGGGGTTTAAATGTACGTTCGAAAGGGGGATATTACACGTGTACTTTAACTTCAAGCGGTATCGATATCGTCGGTGATCTCTCTTTTTCGTGTTTGTGTTGGTTTTTACTATTTTTCAATTAGTGAAAACTATATGAACTAGAAAAAGGGTGTTGTTATTCTTGATGCCTTTGTAGAGATTACCGGTTTAGAACGTATTGTTATACTTGCTGAGAAATTAACCGTCGTATGTATAAGTGTTTTATCGAATTGAATTATTCTAGTACCGACAAATAATATGATAATTTGTTTATGATTTGGCAAGTTTTGGGTCTATACAGCACAATAGCTATTGGGATTATTAGAGGTGGAAATTGGACGGTTTGGATCGAAAATAGGCTTTCCGGGAAAATTCTAATTTCTTATTTTCTGACAATTTATGAAATTTCCAAAAAAAATATTGAAATTTTCGTACTTCTTTCATTTTCTAAAATTTTGAAATTTACAAAATTTTCGAAGCTTTTGGAATTGAAAATGGAAGTGGTTTTTTACTACCGAAAATAATCAACTTTTTTTTCCAAAAAGGTCAATTTCAATCCGTTCCATCTGACTTAGGAAATTTTAAATTTTCTACAGTACAAAATGAGAAACCTCTTTCATAGATTTTTTTTAGTAACTTTAATAGATTTACTATCAAACCCATTAAGTATCATGCATAAAACCTTATGAATACGAAAAAATGATTCGAGAAAATACCAAAATTGATGAATAAAAATAAACACGAGTAATTTTTTTTAAAACCGTGCAATTTGACAACAAATAAACGATTTTTACCAACTTAAACAAGAAAAAAAAAACTCATATTTTAGTATCATCGTAGGGATTTGAACCAATTTTTAAATATTTTTCAATATAACGACTATTTAAAGAAAAAATGTAACCTACTCCACAGGTAAAATAGCATTGGTCTTCTACTCCTTGATCGACGAAAATGGTGTTTAATTTTGGGTACTAAAAAAATACTCTTCTTCTTTCGGTTTCCGAAACTGTAACTACGAAATCGTGTGACAAAAAAGTAGAAGAGACAAAAAACGTTTCATCGAACCGCCTCTCGATTTTGTTTAAAGGGAGGGGAAATTTAGTTGTTTCACAACCTTTGAGGAGCAAAAAGTGTATGAATTTTCAAATAGTAGGGAATCTAGAGAAAATTCAATCTTACGGGGGACTGAACTGTAAACCCTAGTATAGAATAAGGACTTTAGTGTATATTTTCCCCTTTATTTTTAGGGTAAATTACAACCACCCCTGAGGTATGGTCAAATTACAAAACCCCCCCTCTTGTTTAGATAATTACAACCACCCCCTCAACTCCTCAAATGTAGTGGAATTTTCGAGATTATATGGAATATTATCACTTTTGTACTCGTTTTATCCCATTCGAACTCTACATTTTGAAGCAAGATGATCATAATGTGTGTTTTTTGGCTTGTATATATCAGATTGTGGTGCATCAGAAACTATATTTTTATACAAAACGACTATAAACTAGAGCACATTCCACGAAATCTAGATGATTATGTTGAATTTGACACCATAAGGGTGGAGGTGTAAGGAAAAAACATAGTTGAGGGGGCACATGTAATTATCCAAACAAGAGGGGGATTTTTGTAATATGACCATACCTCAGGGAGGTGTTTGTAATTTACCCTTATTTTTATAACCTATCTGCCCCTTCTTAGGCGGGATTTTGCCGAGCCGATCAAAATTCAAAATTCAAAAAGCTTTAAATTTTCAACTCACAAAAACCGTCAAAAAAAATTAAACGAGAGAGAGAGCGATCAGAGATCGGAGATCGGAGATCGGAGATCTAGAATTCCATCAATGGAGAAATACGAGAAGCTGGAGAAGGTAGGCGAAGGCACGTACGGAAAGGTGTACAAGGCGAAAGAGAAAGCCACCGGACTGGTCGTAGCCCTAAAAAAAACCCGCCTCGAAATGGACGAGGAGGGCGTGCCGCCGACGGCGCTCCGGGAGGTTTCCCTCCTCCAGATGCTGTCGCAATCGCTCTACGTGGTCCGACTCCTCTGCGTCGAGCACGTCGACAACAAGAGCGGGAAGCCGCTCCTCTACCTCGTCTTCGAGTACCTCGATACGGATCTGAAGAAGTTCATCGATTCCCATCGGAAGGGGCCGAACCCTAGGCCGCTTCCGCCGCAGTTGATCCAGAGCTTCCTCTACCAGCTATGCAAGGGCGTGTCTCACTGCCACAGCCACGGCGTGCTCCACCGCGATCTCAAACCCCAGAATCTGCTCCTTGATAAGGAGAAAGGAATCCTCAAAATCGCCGATCTTGGACTCGGTAGAGCATTCACCGTCCCCCTTAAGAGCTACACCCACGAGGTTATCGTCTATTCTTCGTTTTAATTACATCGATTGATCAATTTTTATTTGTTTTTAATTTTGATTAATACTGTAATTTGAATCAATGTTTAGATTGTGACGCTTTGGTATAGAGCGCCTGAGGTACTTTTGGGATCGACGCATTACTCTACGGCTGTTGATATATGGTCCGTCGGCTGCATTTTCGGTGAGCGAAATTTTTCCACTTAATACATGTGTAGTATTATTTAATTCTGTAAATAAAATTAGCAATTGGAATTATTTGCTTCTGCCTATTGCAGCTGAGATGGTAAGAAGGCAAGCTTTGTTTCCTGGAGATTCCGAGTTTCAGCAGCTGCTTCATATTTTTAGGTACATCTGTTCTCTTTCTATTTTTCCTTGTTATTAAGCGATTTAAATGATTATGTTATATGACTGGTCTACTACCCTTTACAAAGTTCGAGTGTTGATTTGAATTGTGTTTTACGCAAAAGATACCAGCATTACAACAATGATGATATCGAATAATATTGAACTTTTTATGTCTACAAAAAATGAAGTTTAGTTGATGGACTGCTTCGTAGTTATTGTGACGGGGATTAGATCAATTAACAGCTTAATGCCTTCGATTAAGTATATAGCCTTTTTATTCAAACCTGTAATGGAACCCTCATCTCCTTATTTCGTGTAGTTAAGGAACTTGTTGTGTTGGTTGAATGGTTCGTAATATTGAGCACTAGTCAATTCTGAACACATTCCTGAGATAACGCTACCTACATGTGCATGCTATGTATTTCAACTTCATAGAAAAGAAGGTGTTGAAGAGACTTATAGAGTCCCGAGAATCGATTAACGAGTGAACAAGGTCAAAACATCTTTTGAAGAGTTGATTCCCGAATTGCACGAGCGTTTATGTTAAATTCTCCTATTGTACATGTTCCAAACATTGAACTATAGAAGACGTCAAAAGTGGATATTGGTTCTTGATTTCTATAATAATGATATCCCAAATCGAAGGGTGTACAATCAGAAGCGAAGTTGATTTAATTGTTTTGTACATAATTGTTAACTACTAACGCATCGTTGCAGGTTGCTTGGAACACCAACTGAGAAGGATTGGCCAGGAGTTAGTTCATTGAGGGATTGGCATGTGTACCCTCAGTGGGAACCTCAGAATTTGGCCCGTGCAGTTCCTTCATTGGAGTCCGATGGTCTTGACCTTCTAACGGTGATTCTTTTCTTTATTTCTCGGGTTATCTCCATTTGTCGTTTGACCTTCTAATGAATACTAATCTTGAAAATCTAAAGACTAATGAATGATTCGAGTCCTTTTACAATCTTAACCTTACTTTATTTCACACTTCATTTTGGACACGGAAAATGATCTCCCAATTTCAAATTACATTCTTGTGGTATCGATAATGTTTTTTTTTTTTTTTTTTTGTTAAATTGAATTTTGATTAAGCAGAAGATGCTGAAATACGACCCGGCAGACAGAATTTCGGCTAAAGCTGCTCTAGACCATCCCTACTTCGACAGCTTGGACAAATCTCAGTTCTGAAAGTGGAGGAGGCGACCGCCATTTTTGAAAAAAAACGTGGTCACGATTGTTGGATGATGTCATCATCTTGGTGATTTGATATTTTGATGTCTATGCTTCGGTTATTCGTATCAAAACATCTGCGAGCGCAACGTATCATCAGTCTGGTGATATCTTTATAAAATGATATATGTTTACAAGTAATGTAATTGACGACATTTTAAATATGCTTTATGTTGTGTAATCGATGCATAACTAGCGTGGAGGCATGCATTGTACGGTTATAATATTTCGAGTTTATTGTATTGTACTCTTTTCTTAATAGTAACGATGGAGGTGTGTTTCGTTTTTTATTACGATACCGTAAAATTTTTAGAATTGTAAAAAGTATATCCTTCAATTATAAATTTCATGGAGAAGTTCATTCTCCATTCATTTCTTAACTTCATTGTCAATTGTTTGCACTGTTGTTTATTAGTGAACTACTGATTAGCATAGTTGCATACATTTAGCAATCCGACTTTAGCTCAGTTGGTAGAGCGGAAGACTGTAGTTTGTTAGCTGTTATCTTTAGGTCGCTGGTTCGAATCCGGCAAGTCGGAATTTTTTGCTATTTTTTGGTCATCCTGATAAATATCGAATACAGTTGTATTATATATAACAAAAACTTAAAAGATCTTCCACAATCCGACTTTAGCTCAGTTGGTAGAGCGGAAGACTGTAGTATGCAAGCTGTTATCTTTAGGTCGCTGGTTCGAATCCGGCAAGTCGGAATTTTTTATTTCTTTTTATGATGTAAACTGTAGTTATTCGGAATTAGTGTTAGTTTTCATTGTTGCTAATTATCTGAAGTTCTGATTTCTTTTTAGAAGTGTTATTTAATGTATTTTGGTATAAAAGTGATACCCCTTGATTTGCCTTCATGTGTTGATGATCCTAAGGATATTTTGGTAAATTGAAGAGGGGTTGTCCTTCATCGAAGACGATCGATAATGTTTTGTATTATCCCTAATTAATTCCATTCCGGGTATGATAGATGTTACTTCTGGTGAAACAGGTAATTTTATGCACCTCATTTTTACACAATCACACACACATCCATGCACTAACGGAGTCGTAACTTTAAATCCGAGTGGCCGAACGCATTAAAAAATTTCTTGGGGACGTTAAGACTATTATACAAGAATTTTTTTATATTTCTATTTAAAATAATAGAGATTGAAGAAACGTTGGGGGAGATGTGTTGGCGCCTCTTGTCTCTATACTGGGGTACCGCTGCATACATACATATAGGGCTGGGAGCCTGGGACTGGGTTGGTTTTTATCCACCAACCGACCCATTACCGACCATATTTTTAGGTGGATAATCAATTTTTAACCGACCCATTGAATCGGGTCGAAAATTTCAACCAACCCATCTATAATGGGTCGGTTGGTGGTTTCTAATATTATCAAAAGTTGGTTGACCGATAATTATTGGTTATCCAACTATACTATTAAAATTTTATTAAAAATATAAAATAAATGCCGTGTTTTCTTAAGTGGTTATTGAAATTATCAAAATAATTAGTATTCTAAATTTTAAAACAATCAACAAAGAAAAATAAAATTGTGCATGTTTGAAATCACTTTGAATTTCTTAATTATATTTTCTTTAAATTGTTATTAATTATTTTGAACTGATAAATGACGATCGCACCGTGGCATTACGCAAAATTTGGATATTTTTACTCTAAAATTTGATTTTTTTTTAAAATGAACTAGGTGGCAGGTATAAACCATTAACCGACCCATTCCGGAACTAAATATTCGGTTGCCAACCATCAACCGACCGACAAAGGTTGGGTCGGCAACGGTTTTCAAATTTGAGCAAAAATGATTTGACGGATGAGTCAGTTTTTAGGCTGGTAATCGACCGACCCAACCCAGTCCCAGCCCTACATACATGTGAGTTTGTACAAGAAAATATTTATCAATACACATCACACAAGCAGGGGCGGATCCATGGAATTTTCTTTGGTGGCTAGAGTATGGGGGTGGTTTAAAAGTTTTTTTTTTTTTTTTTTTTTAAATGAACTAAAGTGTATAAAATTGAAAGTTTGAAAGGTGAAAGTGCATTAATAACTAATATATTGCCCCTCCCCCTAAATTTTCTTTTCACAATTTTTTTGTCAGATACGTTGGAAGTCCGGTAATCGATCGACCCAACTCAATCCCAATCCTAGTACTGGGGTATAGCGTAGTAAAATATATATTTAAATAAAAGAAAGTTGAATATTTAAATCCAAATAATTAAATGACAAGGACCATCATGAATCAGCAGGCATGAGATTGATGACCTATTGTACATATTTGTGTAGTTCTTTTAAATAGGGTCTCGTGCATCAACCCTGTTTTTATTCCACTTTTGAACACCCAACATTAATTCAACCACTACAACAATTATTCATATCTTTTGACCTAACAAATAACACACACACACACACACACTTGCAAGAAAATGGTGAAAGGTCTCAGTGGGAGGAAGAAGCCGGCCGAGGAACCAGTTCTTCCCAAGGTTACAATCTGCATTGCCCAGGTACACTTACAACTCTCTCTCTCTCTCTCTCTCTCTCTCTCTCTCTCTCTCTCTCTCTCTGTGTGTGTGTGTGATTTTGCCTTGTGATTTTAGAGGTTTATTACAGCTGATCTCTAGTGGTTCTATACTGCAATAAGTACTATAATCTGCTGTCTTCATATCAGATCTGTGTGTTCACTGCCCTTTTTTTTTTTTTTTTTTTTTTTCTTTTTCTTTTTTTCTTTAATAATTATTATTATTATTTAAAAATCTTTGCTTTCTGTTACATTTAATATATTTATTAAATCTAAATAAAATTAACCTATCACATATGCTCACAATTAGGACATAACTACACATATTAATGTGAGATGTTAACTAGCCTTGGCTATTAGGGTTACAGTTTAGGCCTTAGGGCTCCAAATTTACAGCTTAGTATTTTAATTTATAAACAAAATTAAATTATATATTAATTAATAATTGGTGTCTGATACAATATAAAGTAGTATAAGGTTGTCAAATAAACATACTAATTATTAATTACTTACTTTTATTTATATAAAGTAAATAATATTTTGGCTGATTAATAATTTTGTTAGATAAACTGGCTGATTAAAATGTAGGATGGAGACGAAGTCTACTTTCGATACGTTCGAAACAAGAAAATTCAAAATCTGTTGACCCTTTACTGCAAAGAAAAGAACATCGACTACCGATCTGTCGAGTTTTTGTTCAACGGTAAACGAATCGCAACCGGAAGGAATGCTAATCAGGTAATTAATTAATCTCTCATCACCTATTTTTAATTTCTATTGTTATTTATTTAAGTTGAAGTTCATTAATCGTTTACGTTTTTAATTAATCTAAAACGATACGTTAAAACACGCAAAGTATATGTTGTGCAAGCGGTTAGTTTCGGTTAATCGGCTCGTCTTGGATTAATATGGTTTAATTTGTCTCGCTGATTATTCGACAATGCTATTTCTTGAAGAAAAAAATAATTATCTTATTTTTCTTTAATCATATAAATTAAGATTGATTAAATCTTTTCATTTAATTATTAACTGCAGCTTGGCATGGTGGATGGAGATCAAATAGATGTTATGACGCATAATATTGGAGGTGGCTAAAAGCTCTCAACCAATGAAAAATTAAACAATAATTAATATATGGTATTTAATTTGGTTTATATTATAAATTAAAATTAATATCTCTAGGATTTGTTTGGGTTGTGGATTAATTAGACATGATTTATTAATTAATCATGTAACATTATCAGGTATTTGTGAAGTATGATTTTGGTTACTGATCATGCAAATGAAGGATGCCTATAGTATATTGTTTTATTTAATTTCGACTTTTAGTAAACGTAAGACATTTTATTAGTTAATTAAAATCCGGCACCAACCCTATTTTTTTCTTTCAAACTTTTATTTTGTCAGAATATCGCATTATTAATTGTCAAAGCACGAGTTTATCAAAATTTTGTGACTCGGACTAGTGTTTACAGCAAACACTCGTTTTTTTTGGATTTGTGAATTTTTCTTAAATTATCTGTTCTACCGTTTTTCGTGTCTTTAATCCGCAAAAACAATCAAAAACTATAAACTTTTATTTTTCAATTTATAGACAAATATGTCGACAAATTTTGACGGTAACAAATATGTTATTGGAGATATTTATATTAAATGATACATTTCATTAACAACTTAATTTTTTGGTTGAGATGGTCATTCGACATATCTCACCAATATATATACTTTTAGATTATTTATTGATTTTATATATATATATATATATATATATATATATATATATATATATATTAACATTTGACTAAAAAATTCTATTAGGGTCCTCTGATTTGATGTAAGAGATGTATGTATGCCTTACGTTAACCAATATTCTTGGTTTGTCTGAGTTGTCATTTTCACTAAAATCTTACCATTTGATTCTATTCATTATTCAGACTATAATAAATATTATTTATGGATTTATTTATTTATTAAATTAAACCTCAAACACAACTTAATTTGAAAACTCCGATAAAGTTTCAAAAGAACAGATATACGTTCAGCTCGACTCGATTCGTTTGCGCTGTCCTACACTTCTTTCGATCAATTTTGTAGGAAGCCACTAAGAAAAGGAAATAACGGTTTTATCCCTAAATTCATACGAATTACGTCATATTATTGTTAATTTAGCGATGTTACTGAGAAATCATATTTAACAATTAATACCGTACTTTAACAGGTTTAGTAATAGATCTAATATAAAGAAACCAAACATCACAGTAAGTAATTAATTAATTAGTTAGTCAATGAAAAAATCGAAACGATACATTCCAAATTAATCCAATCCACGTAACCGAACGAGATGCCTAACTTGATAATATTTCTTATGCTCCGATCCAACTCGTTACGTAATTCATTTAATTAACAGTCTAAAACTATAGATCAAATTTTGATATTTTTTAGTACATATGTTTGTCGTTTACGAAAACTATCGACTATCGTCGAAATATATGTATATAGATATTTATTATTTTTCCGTACACAATTGTACAATCGGGCCTTCTTAGAAACTTCTAGTGCATTATTCGGCTCGGAAATAAAATTCTGGCTCCTCTATTATATTAGTGGTGTCGAAGTAAAATTAATTTAAATTAAAGTAGTGGATTATGATTTTCTTTTCCTCAAATTAGTAGTCTAATCATGAGAATAACTATACAAGAAATATGTAAAAATCTAAAAATAATTAATTAAATTTATGAGACACTTATAAAAGGAAGAAGATATGAGCTTTTGTACAGATTAGTGTAAGTATTTAATTAGGGTCTCCTGCCAGCAAATTGTATTTATTGCTAATTACCAATTATTATATGTATGTATGTATGCAAGAAAAAATAGGATTTGAAAATATAATTTAATGAGATACACAAATAAATAGGATGCCCTAATTGAACTGAACGGTGTAGTGATTTTAAGACAAAATTATATATTATAAGACAATTTGGTTTTAGTGTCATATTCTTCTGTCAAAACACACACACACACACACACACACAAACAACACACACAGTAGGTTTGAAGAAAAATGGCGGCGGAGAGAAGCAGTGAAACACCACCCCGTGAGATGAACAGGCCGCTGGTGGAGGAACCAGTTCTTCCTAAAGTTACATTCTCCATCAAATCCCAGGTTTCTCTCTCCCCATCTCTCTCCCCATCTCTCTCTCTCTCTCTCTCTCTCTCTCTCTACTCTCTCTCTCTCTCTCTCTCTCTCTCTCTCTCTCTCTCTCTCTCTCTCTCTCTCTCTCTCTCTCTCTCTCTCTCTCTCTCTCTCTCTCTCTCTCTCTCTCTCTCTCTCTCTCTCTGTGTGTGTGTGTGTGTGTGTGTGTGTGTGTGTGTGAAGAACTGATGATTTAATTTCTTTGTTTCTGGCATGTGTTATGTATATATATAATTGTGTGTATTTTCATTTTATTTGGACTAGAGTCTACCTGTATGCATATCACACACACACACAGACTGACACACACGCGCATATATATATATACATATATATATATATATATATATATATATATATATATATATATATATATATATATATCAGATCTGTATTCATGTGAAATTTTTCCCTATGTTTTGTTTTTTTGAAATTCTAATTCATGAACATAGTAATAATGTAGATAAAATATATGCTGACAATTTATATTAATGATTATAGAAAATTATAATGGTAGTGGCTATTAAGTAATAAGTGATATTAATAGATACATTATAGATACCCTTGGTTTTTTTTTTTTTTTTTTTAATCCTATTTTATTTACTCAATATTAGTAACTAAACAGTTTATAATATCTGGCCTGATTATTTATGTTCACCGGTTGTTTAAATATTAGGATGGCGACCGAGAGTACTACCGATTTCCGCGGGATCGAAAAATACAATTCTTGTTGTCGGAATATTGCAAGGGAAAAAACTTGGACTACGCAACCGTAGTGTTTCTGTACAATGGCGAACGAATCAAAACTTCAAAGACCCCTAACGCGGTAATGTTATCCAATTTATTGGCCCCGTCGTTAGTGTAATTGTATTAATTATCCCGTTGTTAGTGTAATCGTATTAATTAGCTAGCCCGTTGTTAGTGTAATCCGATTAATTGGCCTGTTGTTAGCGTAATCGCAATAATGGTTTCGACGATTGATCGACAATGTAGATCATATAAAGATTGCTTGAATCTACCCTTACGTATTGCATTAGGGAAAATTGTAATTTTGGTCCTGTAGATTGTCCTATTTTGATTTTACGGACAATAACTTTACAAATTTAGCATTTTCGGTCCTATTTTAATTTGCTTGAAATTTTAATTCTACTCTTTGATAAATTATGTGGCTAACAACCTCATCGTAGTTTAGTTATATGAATATTTATAAATTATAAATAGTCCGCTAAATAACTTGGTTTATAAACTTGTCTTTCGCACGATGAAAATTCTATCAAACCCTAAGTTAGATGACGAGGTTATAATTTTTAAAAGAGGACCAAAAATGCTAAGTTTGCAAAGTTGTTATGTGTGAAATTGAGATAAGATAACTTATAGGACTAAACTGAAATTACAATTTTGCCTACTGCATTATATATTATTACACTAACTATGATTTGTTTATTTAATGTAGCTTGGGATGGAGGATGGAGATCAAATAGATGCAATGGTGCATCAAAATGGAGGTGGCAGAGCTTCAAATGTGTGATGCTATATATATATATATATATATATATATATATATATATATATATATATATATATATATATCTTTTTCTTACTTTATATTATTATTCATTTACGAAAACTATGTAATTGCAAACGTATTCTAGTGTGTTAAACTTTGTTTTTCGATCAACGATATTAATTCTCTGATTTTTGAATTTGTAATATGTGACTCGAATTTCATATACTCAATATATTTGGTGTTTAATTTTTTTTTAAATCAAACTATTATATGGTTGCAAATGCATCTTCAAATTCTTTTTAATATATTTATTTGTTATTCACTTATGTTTTTTCTTTTTCATTTTTTTTTAATTTCTTTTCTGAAAAGTTCAAGCTATATTACAAATTGGAGAAGTATTAGAGATGCATGCTTCGAATCCCAACTAGATTGGTTCTCAGTTAATATTTAGAGGGTGTTTGGCTAAGCTTAATTTAAACAGCTGATAAACGATCTTACGTGTTGTGATAAGATTTTTTAAGAGCTGATAAGTTGTTACATCTTAATTTTAGGATTAATATTTAGAGCGTTTGTATAATGAACTTATTTTTTATTTTCAGTCATTATAGGATCTTAAAAAATTTGGGATAGATGTACTTTAATAAAAATATATTATTTGCTCTCCAATAGCTTGTTTGCAAAAAAAATGTAGATCTTTTTTTTTTTTAATTTTACCAAACATTTTGGAAGAGCTTATAAGCTCTAAAACATATTATAAGCTTCTTTTAACATCTTATAAACATATCCAAACACCCTCTTAGATTTTTAAAAATACTTCAATTTTTTTGTAAATTTGTAGGAGTCGAACTCCGACTATTTAGGTTGTGGCTAGTCCACTCATATGCACTGGCGTATCCAGTGTGGTCCAAGGGTGTGCTATTGCACACCCTTGATTTAAAAAAAAAATTATTTCCTATATATTACGTAATATATTACAATATGGCCAATGCAATGCTGTAGCCGAACCGGTTAAGTGCTTCATAGCATTCTGCAGTGGTGCAGGGTTCGAGACCCAGAGTCCGAAACCTCTCTATTATTTTTCCTTTTTTATTCCCAATTTTCCCATTATATACAATACTTTAATTGTTTTAAAAAAAAATGTTGAATATGTGGGTATTCAAAAATTCTAAATATTGTCTATATATGTATTATTTCAATTTTTTTTCTAAATTTACAACTATGTGGGTTTTTTTTTTCTTTTTGAAAATTCAAAATCTGCTAATGAAATGTACATTTTGTCACTTGCAACTTTAATACGTTTACCACTCCTTTAATATTTTCACCAATTTTATGTCTAAATATTTCCTAAATTTGCCCAAAAATGGTAAAATAATCCCTTTAAATTTGAAAAGTTTGTATATATATGTATTATTTCAATTTTTTTTCTAAATTTACAACTATGTGGGTTTTTTTTTTTTCTTTTTGAAAATTCAAAATCTGCTAATGAAATGTACATTTTGTCACTTGCAACTTTAATATGTTTACCACTCCTTTAATATTTTCACCAATTTTATGTCTAAATATTTCCTAAATTTGCCCAAAAATGGTAAAATAATCCCTTTAAATTTAAAAAGTTTAAAGATTTTTTATTATTTAATGTGTACGGTATTCAAAAAAAAAATATTCGGGGGCGCTGCCCCCGAACCCCCGTAAACTATTAACCAACCATTATATTTTTCATTATATTTAATTTCGAACACCCTTGGCAAAATTCCTGGATTCGCCACTGCTCATATGGCTAGGGTAAACTCAAGCTCCCACTTATTTGTTGTAAAATTTCCCCGCCTTCTTCAATCTTCTCCTTCCATGTAAAATTCAACTTTATGTTGAGTTTTGTAAAACATACATGCGGTGCAATATACAATGTAGTTTTACACTATTGATTTACACATAATAATACACAATCACTGATGTGTGTATGTGTTTGATTAGTTGATAGTTATTTATGTAGATTTACGAAACACCATATGGTGTATTTTAACAGGTGTAGAATCTCATTAAACACACAGTGACAAATATTGGGAGATGTTTACGCTAATTTAATATTCTATTTTGAGATATTTGATTTAATTAAAGAAAGTAGGTATTCAGTTGGTAACGCAGTTTGGTTTAGAATACCACATGAAAATGAAATTGAGCTCAGACTGCAACACTGAGGATGTATTTGGTACATTTCATAATTTTGGGGGCAAAGTGAGATATATGGGATAAATGTGACAACAATCATAGCTACACGGCAAGTCAAAAGTAATAATTATTACAACACAGTCCTGAAAAATAGCGACTGTAGTAAGTAATTAATTAATTAATTATTATTTTTATGACAACTGAAATGATGTATTGATGTTACACTGCAAATATCTATCATTCATGCATATATTCTCAAGAGAAAAGAAAAATCATTCACAGAAAGATTCTGTAATTTGTAGGACAAACAGAACATAAATTCTGTATATATATATATAAATCGTGTTGTAAGTTAAATAAAGCTCTATCAATGGCAGAAAATGGAAGCAACAGAGAAGAGCCGGTTAAACAGCTGCTTGTTAATTTAATTATCAAGTGCAATAAGGTCTCTCTCTCTCTCTCTCTCTCTCTCTAACACACACACACACACACACACTAGGTTGGGATATTTCTACCAATTAGCAGAAAAGTCATGTGAAAAGCATCAGAATATGGATGAATGAAATAGAAATTCTTAATTAAATTGTTACTTAATTAGTTTCTTTCAAATGAAATTGAAATAAAAATAAAATAAAAGAAAGTGCTGCATGCATGCCATACATGCTTCATGCTTGGTTTATGTATATGGTTGATTTATTTGCTAGTGTTGTTGTATTTCTTTTCAAATGACAGTGATATATATATATATATATATATATATATAGACTCAATTATACATATGTATGTATTCTTTTTGATATACTAACAGACTAGGAAAATACAAATACAATTTAAAATGGTATATTATACGCTATTCGAAACTTCGTTAGACGGGATGATTATCGACTATACTGTAATTAACTCGATCCGATTTATTGGCCCGTTACTAGTGTAATCGTATTAATTATCGCACTCGATATATAATCCAGTCGAGCGAACGAGCGCGCTGCCAATACATACATTACATGCATTCAAATTAAGTACTTCGACTTGTTTTATATCGTTTTTAGTGTACGTATAATTATTGAATATTTTGTATTTACTTACATATATTATATATATTTATATAACATTTACATTCGTATAGGATGGGAAAGAAATTTACGTGAAGGTAAAACGGAACGTGAGAATAAAGAAGCTCTTGCGTGGCTTTTGCCAGTATGCTTCGATCGAATATCGTTCCACTCGTTTCGTGATTGATAATCGAACTTTCTACCATGACAAAACTCCAAACCAGGTATACAATATATTTTCTTCAATTTTGCCATTAATTTCTTTAATCCTTGTTCTTCTTTTCGTTTATTCATTTATTGTCTTTACGTTATTTTTTTTGCTAATGTACGATAAAATTTGCAGCTGGGATTGGAAGACGACGATCAAATTGACGCGTTGGTTGATGCGAGTGGAGCTTGATAGTATGAAGATGAAGACCTTTTTGATTAACTTCCTGATTAGTAATTGGTATTAACTATTAATTAGCGCTTAGTTAAGAATTTAAGACCCCTTTTTTCTTGAAATATGTTATGCAAATTAAGTATGTTTTATGCATCTCATTTTGTATTAGTAATCAACTGTTGAAACATCTGCCTGGTTAGACAGTTAATTAGTACTTGTTATTAACTATAACCATTTGTATTATAGCACGGATAACGTTGTCAGCAATTGTCGTGTATGAACTCGTTCGATCCATACTAAAAAAAATATATATACAGCTTTATAAAATGGTTTACGGTACATGAACCCGAAAAATTCGAATCAACATCAGATGCTAATTATAACCGCAACCAAATGTGACTATAGATACAAATTAAATGCTCTTTAAGCTACAAAACGGTGCGCTAGATGGGAAAATCGTACGAGTAAGTTTGAAATACAATTAAACTTCTTTTCAAACCCACAGGACAGCTAAAAAAAAAAATCGAGCGAAACTGAAATTCGGAACTGTGTAGTGTCTAAAGAGAGTTTGTATGTATTTTGTCAATAATTCGTCGGCCGTTGGATATTGTGGAACACAAACTACTCAAGCAGGTAATTCTAGCTTCACATTGTTCTTCCAGCTGAAATTTTGAAAGAAAGAAATGCACATTCGTTAAAAGACGAAACTAACCTTGGACGGGTTTCGGTAAGTATCTGGTTATTATAATACCTTTGGAAGTAGTAATAGAAGAAATCGGCATAAAGCAGTGTTTGAACCAGCCCTGAAATCCAAGCTGCATATATAGGCAGAAACACAACATAAATATGTATATCACTCGACTTCGTGTGTGTGTGTGTGTGTGTGTGTTTGTGTGTGTGTGTGAGTGTTGTGAGCGAGAGAGAGAGAGACAGAGAGAGAGAGAGAGAGTAGAGAGGAGGAGGGGCGGCAAATATATATGTCACCTCTGGTGTGTGTGTGTCTT